GCCATGGCACTCTACCCAGGGGGACAGCTTGAGGCTCCTGTCTCAAAAAAAAAAAAAAATACCTAACGTGTACTGGGGCCCCACCCTGCCATGTGCCCACTCCTTGGGTGTGGGTGATACAAAGTTAAATGACACCAGCACAGTCCCTGTCCCAGTGAGCTAGCTTCCCAGTGTTCATAGTTGCTTAGCCAAGACCTCCCAAGATTCTAGTGCGTTTCTGCCACCAGTATCATTTAATTATGTAACTTAGCACACTAACAACTGTGACTTTGTTATTGACGATGCATATTTGTTTATTCTTTAATTGTTCCAAATGAATGTGTCTAATCTTCCCCCACAAAAGATGGTAAGTTTTTTAAAAGAGAAAAACCACCCTTCATAGTTCTTTAGTACCCTCTGAATTGACCAGACTGGTGGATGTCACGTGCAATAACTATTAGTTTGCTGGTGGAAGTTTACTTTGATTTTTTGTTTTGGTGGTTCGTTTTCACTGTCCACAGAACTTGTTAATTGTTTGTCAAGAGAAACTCTTCCTTTGCCCACATATTCATGCTTCATAGTTCAGAAACACAGGTCAGTAATGAACTTCTATGTAATTCAACCCAAAGAAATCCTTTATATTCTAAAATCACTTGGTCACTTTTAAAGATACTACCCTTCCTCATCTCCTCAAAATCTTTCATGGAATAACAATTTCTGTAGAAATCTCTATGGGCCTTCTTTCTTGGTTCAGCCACAACAAACTTAACAGAGAGCTGCAACCCCCAGGGATACAACAAATGCTCCAGCAATATGAAATTGCACACATTTGGCCAGAAGGCCACGGATCTGAGGTGCCTGGACACCATGGTGGCGATTGCCCTTGATGGGAATGTCAACCTCAACACCAGCGTCCTTGCTGGCTGAGAAATGGACAGCCCAGAATATTCACTTTGAATCACCAAAGGTCTAACTTTCCTATAACTACAATATGTTTGTCTCTAATGGATCTGTTTACCTAATAGTTAAAAAACCAGTTTTTTCCCCTCTTGCTGGGAACAGCCTTAATTCCCCTTTCACCATTCACACTTCCTTCATCTTCACATTTTGACTCAAGATTTCGAGATCACAAGTATGGCCACAAATATCTACTTCAGGTAAGACTCTGGATAGCATGTAAAATCATATTTAACTGCTTATGATTCATATAATCAGGAATTCTATCCTTAAAACTGTGACATACACTCTTTCAATGAATTTTTGTGTCTTTTACTACGGCTGTGGTTCAATTCAGTTTTTAAAGCTTTCTCATTCGAATACAATCTTTGAACCACATAGGAAATATAACATGAATACCAGAAATACCAGAATTTTGACCTCAGCCCGCCTGATACAGATACCAAGCAGGGCATTTCACCTCTCTGGGCCTCAGTTTCTGTATCTGTACAATGGGAGTGGTTAGGGTGGAAAGCTCATAGGTGCTTCATGTGGGATGAGTAAAGAATGTCTCTAGACCAAGATTAGGATATAAAAGTATAAGCTTATCTTTTAGACAGAGAGAGAGCGCAAAGGAGGGAAAGAGAGAAAGAAGAGAGTGGGGAGATGGTGTGGCACCCAAAAGAAAGAAAGGAAAGAATGCCCAGAGTTGCAATCAAGCAGTTTCTGAATTTAAGGGAGACAAAGAAAAAAAAAGGTAATTGCAGCCAAGTTCACAAGGTGCTGTGGATGGGAAAAGGTTGGAGCCAGACTTTGTACAGGTGTTTCCCACGTGTACAGGGCCTGTAACGTATCAGGCGTCACTAAACATTGGTTAAACCGCTCAGACGGACAGAGAGTAAAGAAGGGGCAGGAAAATACCCACCTCGGTGTCCCTGAGGGCAGGAAGAGCGCCTGGCGGGGATGCAGAACTCCTTTCAGAGTCAAATTACGTGGGCAAAGTTCAGCCCCTCCTTCAGTTAAAAAGCCGAGGGCAGGGCTTAATAAGGAAGTGGCTCTCCTTCCCTGGGCTCCCGCCCCGTCCCAAACCTGAGGAGCTGCAGCCTGGGGCTCTAATCCCTGGAGCCCTTCTAAATGAGAAGCCAGGACCACCTGTCGAAAGTTTGCCCTTCCATTTCCTGGAGACTCAGGCGTAGAGAGTAGAGACAGCCGTACTGCCACCTGACCCACAGCAGGAGAACCCGCTGACAGCTCCAGACCAGGTAACGCCAGGAGGCAGCCGGCTCCCTCTCAGCCTCCAGAGGAGGACGGCCAGGCCTCTCCTCTGCCCAATGAGGCGCCTCGCTCAGGGAGCTGTTCCCTGGGTTTGTGAAAAAGTTCTTATCGCCTAAACCTAAGCATACAAAGTAACGTTGAGAATCTGGTTCACTAGGGTTTCCAGGAAAGAGAAAGGAAGGTTATTCAGGTTTCTCTTTCACTCCTCCTCTGCTATGGAGAGTTTAATGAAGAGCTGTGAGTTGTGACCATGTGACATGAGAGGTTTTGCGAGGGCCTATTATTTTTAACCACCATTAATTAGTTGGGGTGGCGTTTACTATACTGTGAAATTTTCACATTTGAATTTTTTTAATTGCCTGGCAAGAGCTGATAGCAGTTCTAAAATATCAGCAGAATGATTTGCTGAATTCATTATATTCCCGTTAATGTCACTTTTTGATTACAATAAAAGTTTTCAGTAAACTTTGTTTTTAATTTTTTTTAGAGACAGAGTCTCATTTTGTCACCGTCAGTGGATGCTGTGACGTCGCAGCTCACATCAACCTCCAGCCCTTGGGCTTAGGCGATTCTCTTGTCTCAGCCTCCCCAGTAGCTGGGACTACAGGCACCTGCCACAATGCCCGGCTATTTTTTTGTTGCAGTTTGGCCAGGGCCGGGTTTGAACCCGCCACTCTTGGTATATGGAGCCAGTGCCTTACTCACTGAGCCACAGGTGCCACCCTTCAGTAAACTTTTCAAAAAAAATAAAAAAGAATACTTTGCTTGGACCAGGAGTGATGACTCACGCCTGTAATCCTAGCACTCTGGGAGGCCCAGGCAGGTGGATTGCTTGAGCTCACAAGTTCAAAACCAGCCCTGAGCAAAAACAAGACCCCATCTCTACGAAAAAAGAAAGAAAAAACTGAGGCAAGAGGATCACTTGAGCCCAAGTTGGAGATTGCTGTGAGCTATGT